TTTTCTTGAGTATAACATCATTAGCATATATAATTTTCGATTTCCATGAAAAATACATAAGAAAATAAAATGATCCCCAAACAATTGCGAAAAAAGAAAAAAGTACTTGTTTTTATGTGGTTACAGACAAATATTGGAAAAACAAAAAATAATGAAGATAATACACGTTTATAATCTTTGCGAGAATTTTTAATGAGACTATACAAAAACAGAAATCCTTGTTGTTCTTTTTTTCTCTTTCTTTTTTTTTTCAAGGATATATCAAAAGAAAAGCTGTACTTGTTACAGTTATATTATAATTCAGTGATAACGAGTCAACTTTTCATACCAAATCATCCTTTATTTTGGAAAATAAATGTTTCACTAAGGTGAATTCCTTCTTGTAAGTTATGTTTACAAAGGTTTCTGTAATATCCAAATAAACTTCCTGCATTTTATTCAGTCCATTTTTCTTATTTCTCAAACTGCAATAAACACAATGATACTAAAGAAACTGATGAAGATAATGAAACTTATGTATTGCTGTACTTACTATGCAATGTCCTCCTGGATATCAGAAAGCTTTTGTTGCTGATTATCAAGGAGCTTTTGCATGTCATAAATCTCTGCCTCCAGCTCGATTAACATTTCTGCACGCAAGTCAGATGTTCTCAAAATTGGATAATCTTTAGGATCCACCTGTCGAATTTCCTTACACAAGCTGTCATGCAACTTGTTCTGTCTGATTCTCATGTCATCCAACGAACTGGATGATTTTATTGTGAAGACTTCATTGTTCGATAGTTTATTTATCAGATCTTCAATATTTTTTTCCTGTTCTTTCTTTCTCTCTACTAACAATTCGAAAGCATCTTCTAATGTATATTCCATATTTTTATTTTAAAATATAGATAAAATTCACATTGAATGCTGCAAATAACATAAAAAATGTTAATGGGGAATACAGCTTGTAATAAAATTTTCAATGGAGTTGAATCTAGCCTACACAATCACAAAAATTAAAAAAAAATATATATATATACTAGCTGACGCGTTTTTTCAAGAAATGAACGAATCTTACAGAAAAAAAATGTTTCTTTGCTCCACGAATAGAGATATTAATCGTAGAATTTTTATTTTATCAATAATATTTTATTATTATTGAAATTTGTTATTGAAATCGCGAAACCTGTTACATCCACAATGTAAACAAATATCTGCTGCACACGATACTTCATACTTGTTTTCTTGGAGTGCGTTCTAAAACTCGATCCGTCAAGTAGTTTTATCCTTGTTCAACATTCAGTGAACAAGGATAAACTAGTACTCGGATTGGTCGAATTTGGAACGCAATTCTGGGAGCATTCAGTATTGGTAAATTGGTACCTTGGTGGAGCAAAGTAGAATGGAGTGAAGTGAGACTATTGTTATCTGTTGCTTGTTAAAAATTATCATGCTTTCTCATCACATAAGTAAACTTTTGCGTCGTTCGTATTCACGTGCAATCTTGAATTACCGTGGCTTCGCCTCGACGAACGTTGAACCAGGTATTTATTATTCTATCATGAGCCGGATATAATTTTTAGGTTATCCTTTTACTGTGCGGATAATAAAGTTAATGGAAATTGTTGCTGTATAATTGAAATTATATGATGTAATTATAGCTTCTTCATTTTATTTTTTTATGTGATAAATTTAATTTTCTATATATATATATATATATATACATATATCACAAGTCATTTAATTTATAATTCTTATTTTTTTATTCCTTGCCATTCAAACCATACACATAAACATTCCTAGTATTATTCCGTTATTAATGTAAAGTGTATTAAGTCTTATTGCTTTTTTCAAATTTATTAAAATAGATTTATTGATCTTCATGTAACTTTTTACAGATCCAATGGAAAGAGATCCAGCATCATTCTTTTTTAATAAAGAAATTCAGGAATGTCTGCAGACATTAACAACATTGGACTATAATAAAATCTTTCGGACTCGCAAAGATGGACATAAACAAGAATTACCGCAGTTTAAATTCCTGACAGATGAACAACTCGAGGAAGCTAGAAAAGAGGCCGAACATAGAGCGAAGAAATATTTGCAAATGCCACCAGTGGTAAAACAAAGAGTGGAACCGTCTGAGCTGTTATGTGAGGATCCTGCGCTACAGAGTCATGATACTGCTAAATACGTCTTTACTGATATCACATACGGTCTTAAGGATAAACAAAGATCAATAGTAGTTAGAGAACCGGATGGTACATTAAGACATGCCTCTTGGAAAGAACGAGATAGAATGATACAAATCTTTTTACCAAAACCAGAAAGGGAACTACAAAAACCAAAGATGTTTGAAGGCGAATACTTCAAGGTACATACATTGTCTCTAATTTGTATCTAGTATCTTTGCTAAATTTATGTATAGATTTAAAATTTAAGAAAATATGTCGAAAACTATCTTCTTGTTTTTGGGAGAAACTAAATTATATACATTTTTATATTTAATTATATATA